TGTAGCATAGATAAAACAGTAGTTCATTTTAAGCTGATAGCAACTTATCTTAGATCATCTACAAAAGCTTCATGCTTTTACTCCTCCCTTTTATATTTTTGATGTCATCATTTACCTCTTTTTATAATTGTATATTCATTAACATTATAATAGCTATAGCTGTTTTTAATACTTTTTTCCTTTGATCTTTGTACTATCATTGGTTAGCACATTATCATATTACATATTTAGTTTTCTAAGTCTGACTGTACCTTGACCTTTACTGGTGTGTTGTATACTTTTGTATGTTTTCATGTTACTTATTAGTGTCTTTTCATTTCAGCTCCTTTCAGCATCTCTTGCAAGGCAGATCTAGGGATGGTGAGCTCCCTCAGCTTTTGTTTGTCTGGGAAAGTCTTTATTTCTCCATCATATCTGAAGGATAACTTTGTCAGGTTAGAGTATTCTTGGCTGGCACTTTTATCTTTCAACACTGTGAATATGTCTTTCCACTCTGTCTTGGCCTGTAGGGTTTCTGCTGAGAAATCTATTGATAATGTGGTTCCTTTGTTTATAGATTACAATGGCTCCCCCACCCCTGCTGCTTCTAGAATTCTTTATTTTTGTTTTTTGATAGTTTTCTTATAATGTGCCTTGGAGAAGGTCCTTATGCATTGAGACAATAGTGTGACATATTAGCTTCATGAACTTTGATATCCAGTTCTCTCCCCACGTTGGAGAATTATCAGCTGTTATTTATTTAAATAAAATTTCCACTCCCTGTCCATCTCTTCTACTTCTGGAATCCAGATCATTCTAATATTTGTTTGTTTTTTGATGGAATCCCATTTATCATGTAGGCTTTCTTCACTCTTTTCGTTTTTTATTCTTTGTTCTCCCCTAACCTCTGACTAACTTATTCTATCTTCCATATGCTTTACTTCAGATGCACTATTGCATTTTTCATTTCATTTTCAGCTCCAGAATTTCTGTTTGGTTCTTTTTTTAATAATTTCTGTCTAATTATTTGGTAAAAATTCCATTTTGATCATGTATTTTTTTAAGGTTTTGCTGAATTATATTTCTGAGTTTTCTTGTAGCTCATTGAGTTTCTTCAAAACAGCCATTGTGAATTCTTTACCAGCTAGATTACAGATTTCATGCCTTTGAACTAAGTTAGTGGAGAAGTACTTTCTTATTGTGATGGCATGTTTTCTTGATTTTTCACATTCCTTATAATTTTGTATTACTGCTTTCACATTTTATGTAGCAGACATCTCCTAAATCTTTGCAAGTTGCCTTCATTGAGGTATTCTATTTGATGGTGTTATTTGGGTTTTCTGTGTATGGGTACACCTGTTCCATTTTTCTTGCTCCCTCTTGTGGCCAAATTCTTAAGCTTTTATGCCTTCTCTGGTTCTTCCGCCTCACTGCTGGCTACTGGAAACTTCTCTTTTGTTTTCCTGAAGGTGATGCTATAGCTCAAGTTTGCAGTTTCTCCCTTGCACACAGACTGAGGCCTGTTTTATGAGTATGCTTCCAGTCTGTCAGCATCCCTGTCATGCTGTGCACAAGGAATCGGCTGCAGGGTGTGTGTGTGTGTGTTAAGGGGTGAGGGGGGGTTCGGTACTCAGACATTGGGGGTGTTTGCAGACCCAGTAGGGAGATCCCTGGGTATGATACTCCCGGAGGCTGTGGGTGGACTTCCTGCTGCACATCATCCCTTTAATGCCCTTTGAAATTCTTATCTGCCTCTTTCCCAATCTCCTCTCTCCCCCCAGTCTTAAAGGTCCCGCCTCAGTACTCTGAGTACTGATAGAGAGAAATGAGTTTCTCTAGCTACATCCTGCACAGCTGGGTAGCTAGGCACTCACTGCTATCTTATTCCTCCACCGGAGAGGTTGTCACAACCGGATAGATAGATCAGACCTTGGGGGGTATGGTGCGAGGAAAGTTTCTCTTACCACTGCCTCTGCTGTGACCAAACTCCTATTTTTGTTTTTGCTTTTGTTTTATTTTGTTGCTCCAATGGCATGCTGGTATCTCCCCTCGGAAAGTCTGGACTTCCACATTTTCTCTTTGTGTCTGTATATCTGCCCAGGTCAGCATTCTCCAGGGTTTTTGGCAACCACGGTGAGAGGGGTCTGGCCAGGTTTGCTGGCTCCACTGGTTCTACAGCCCATACTGAGCTCTGTCTGCCTATCACTGCATGTCCAGATGGGTGAGACTCCGCCTGGGTCCTTCGGTGTGTGGTGATAGATCCCACAGCACCCACCAGAGTGCTTTTGTTTGTGGATGGGTGTCTAATTTTTAGTTAAACATGGGGAAATGCAAAGGAGGAACATCTTACAGTCACCATGATGCTAACATCACTGTCCTGTTTTTTATAAATTACCATTTTCTGATTAAAGCAGCTCCCTTATTTAAAGGTCTTTAGTAGGAAACTTATCTTTAGCAAGACTTGAGTAAGTATAGTTACTAGGTAATGAAACAATATTGCATTTCTTTTTAAATATTATAGAATTATGACTTTTTAATAAACCAGATGCTTTTCTTACACCTCCCTCTTCTTTCTCCCTTCTTCTTTGTTCACCCCAGTATTTAGACTAAATATGAGGTGTTTGACTCTTTCCATATACAGTTGATGCTTGAACAACACAGGTTTGAACTGCACGGGTCTACTTATATGTGGATTCTTCTCAGTTGACCCGTACAGTTCAAACCCACGTTGTTCAAGGGTCAACTGGTGATCGGGAATCCGTTTATGCTGAGGGCCGATTTAAGTTAGACGTAGATTTTCAACAACACTGGCAATGGGCACCCTAACCCCCGCATTGTTCAAGGGTCAACTGTATTCTTCACTGCAAATGTTTCGTGTATCCCTATGCTAAGTAAAGACAGAGGCTAGAATTATGGACAGTATACTTTAAAAAAAATTAAATAGAGAAGTTTGATTATGAGTACCTGAAACTTGTTTCTCTATTCCTTCTGCAAAGTGAGCAATATAGTTCACATTTTAAACAGCAGAATTACTGTCCTGCCATTTTAAAAGACAGCCTTTATCTATCCATCAGTGAAGGAAGGACTATTTCATGTTACTTTGCTTTCACAGACTTGGGATGTTTCAAAGCCTACATTTCAGTATCTTGTATCTACATTTCAGTATCTACATTTCAGTTTATCTCATTAGAATCTAAATGGGAAAAGTATTGTCTAGGTTTCGTTTTGGTGATTCTTTTTGGTCATGAGAAGTAGATGGTAGTGTTTAAAAATTATGTCAGAGATTAAAAGCCTACTCTTCACCCACCTCTAGGCTTTCCCTGGGACCCTGGGGCATTTCAGCAGCCCCAGAGAAGTGGACATGATTCCTTCTCTGTGAGGCCTCCGAGCCTCAGTTCTCACTTTTCCACCTCTTTTCCATGGTTTCTGTGAAGATGAACTCGTGTAAATGAGATGACTATGCCAGTCTGTGTGTGTGGCTTACATTTCAGCCTGTCGGTCAGAGGAGGTGGACACAGATTACCCACCTGTAAGGGCAGAAGACAGCATTGTTCTCTCTTGGTGCCCAGCTTGGGAGATAAAAACAGAGCAGGCTGGGGGATTGAGAGGGATGCATTAATGGTGAGATCAGAAACCATCTTATTGAGTGCTTATGTGAGCTAACTCACTTAATCCTCAAAGAATCATATGAAAGAGGCACCATTATTACTCTCATTTCACAGGTGAGGAAATTGAGGCAGGGAGAAGCCAAGTGAACCTCCTAAGGTCACATAACTAGTAAGTGACAGGAAAGGGATAGAAAGAAACTCTGGTGGTATCCAGTGGAAAAATCTCATCCCCAGACCTGGGATGCCCTCCTTCCTGGGAATTTTGTTGACTGAGGAAAGGGAACCAGAGTTTTTACATGTGTGTGGCCCTCGCCGCCCCAGTAGACAGGGGGTATACAAAATTGTAGAATTCTAAAATCTCCCAGGTGAATCTTCCCCTTCCCTGGTGCATGAATCTTTCTTGAATATTTCCAATAACTTTTCTAGCCTTTGCTGGAATGCCTCAAAGGACTGAGGAATTTAGTCTCTCATGAGGCAGCCCTATTTTTGAATGGCTTGAAGTGGTAGAAAAGTCCCAGCAGCCTCCCTCTAACTTCCACCAGCCTTCTGCAGTTCTCTTAGAGCTACGGGACCTACCTGTCCTGTTGAGGGTCTCAGGGACCTACCTGCCACATGTGAGTTTGCTTTCCCGCCAGCTGGGAAATCAGGGGACAGCCATCTTGCCCATTTCTCCTGCCTCTAACTTTGCAGAGTGTGAAACCAGAGTCCACTTCTGAGGAAGAAGTAGGAAGCCATGGGTTAGAGTGGCGGGCAGTCAGCGTGAGTAATCATCAACTGACATGTCAATGACCTTCTCACAAATCCACTAAATATCTCAACTCCTCACCTAAAAGACTAGGAGATTCCAGGCACATCCGCACTACTCAACATGAACACATTTATTCTGGGAGCCAAATGTAGTGCTGGGACCAATGTTGCATGCCTCACTGGGAAGAGTACAAAGGCATCCAAGGTGTGGTTCCTGCCTCTGTGTTTGTGACGAGATCTGGTGCAGTTGTGTACCGCGTGCCATTCGCTTAAACACAAAATCAAGTGTCCAGAGAAGCTCAGGGGAAGATCAGTGGAGATCATTTTTGACCTTTTCCACAGTGCTTTTGTTATGTTGTGTGTGGGTGAACACATGTACTTGTCTTCTCCCTACAGGTGTGTCTCCCAAGAACAGTACAAAGAAGCTCCATATAAACCTGAGCTCTGTTGAGGATGAGCAGGGTGGCTCTCCTGCTGAGGGCTTCCATTTGCCTGGTGGGAGGTGGGCAAGTGGGAAATCAGGTCTGTCCTTTACTCTATTTTCACAGTGTTGAACAATTTCCTTTACCCGAGATGGTAACTGAGGAACTGGTGTATATTTATTGCAGCCTGGGATGGTTCTGCCGCTTCCGTGTCACGCTAAGTTCCCTTTGCCTCTTCCCGCAGACCAGCAGCAGGCATGATGAGCACCAAGGCCTTTACGTTGGTCTCTGCTGTGGAGAGGGAGCTGCTGATGGGCGACAAAGAGCGAGTCAACATAGAGTGCGTGGAGTGCTGCAGCAAGAACCTGTACGTGGGCACCAGCGACGGCTTCATCTACCACTTCCTATTGGAGGAGAAGGCACTGCCCGCCGGGACAGCCACCTTCACTGCTACGAAGCAGCTGCACAAACATCTGGGTTTCAAGAAGCCTGTGAGTGAGCTGCGAGCGGCGTCAGCCCTCAACAGGCTGCTGGTGCTCTGTGACAACTCCATCACCCTGGTCAACATGCTGAGCCTGGAGCCTGTCCCCTCAGGGGCCCGCATCAAAGGGGCTGTGGCGTTGGCCTTGAATGAGAACCCTGTGAGCGGGGACCCATTCTGCGTGGAGGTCTGCATCATCTCTGTCAAACGCAGAACCATCCAGGTGTTCATGGTGTATGAGGACCGGGTTCAGATCGTCAGGGAAGTGTCCACGCCGGAGCAGCCCCTGGCCGTGGCCGTGGATGGCCACTTCCTGTGCCTGGCTCTGACCACCCAGTACATCATCCTGAACTACAACACAGGCGCCTCCCAGGACCTGTTTCCTTACTGCAGCGAGGAGAAGCACCCCATCGTCAAGAGGATAGGGAGACAGGAGTTCCTCCTGGCCGGCCCAGGAGGACTGGGTGAGCAGGGTGTTGTTGCCTCCGCCAACCTCCGCCTCCCATCGGCCCTTTCTCTGTGCTGTCTCCATGCATTCATGCTGAAACCTGGGAGGGAGGTTTCGGTGTTTTTTTAAAAAACTTACGTATTTTTTATTTCTAGAATTTTTTTTAAAAAAATGACCATTGGTGGGAGGTTTTAATTGTAAAATATAAGTACTCATGAAGAGTATTTGCACCATTGAGGGTATGTGTGAAAAGATATTCACTGAACTGCATAGCCAGTGTTTGCTCAAGTTTTGTTAGATTGTTTTGTGAATGTGGGGTTAATAGAACAAAAGTAGATGGGTCATAAAACCAGTTTTATTTTGTGCTAACCTGAAGATGGCTCTGGGGAGAAAATGCCTTTTAGTAAATAACTACTAAGATAGAAACTTGTAAGTCTTTCTCATAAGATTTTCTCAAGTGGGTGGGATTGTCAGTGGATTGTTTTTTTGCTTTTCATTCTAAAAAGATAGGTCTTTTCAGATGTGAAGACTTCAGTGTTAAATCCATCGTTTTCTCTTAATTGATAGCAATTTCATCATGCCAAAAAGGTGCCAGTAGCCAGCGCCTTGAAAAGGCTTCGACTGTTTTGTACGGCCTCCCTAATTCTCTGTACTGCCTTCTCGAAATTATTATAAGAATCAGAGCTGTTAATGTCACTGGGGCCTCATGGGGTTTTCTTTTAGTCGTGGAGGCTCATACTAGGGTTTGTGTGTTTGTGCACAGGTGCTGCTGAGCGTGAGTGCCCCCAACACTGGTAATGTCTAACCGCAGCGAATCTGTGTAGGCGTCTCATTTCACAGTGATGGGTACAGACATTTTCTGGTGATAACAAAAATTTAGGTCATGAATGAATTACTGTACACCTCTTGATTCTCTCTTTTTAAAATAGACTTTTTAGAGCAGTTTTAGGTTCATAGCAAAACTGAGCAGAAAGTACAGAGTTCCCATACCCTCTGCCCCCAGATACACACAACCTCCCCCCACTATCAGCATCTCCTGACAAAGTCGTACATTTGTTACAATGAATGAACTTACATTGACATAATCACCCAAAGTTCATAGTTTATGTTAGGGTTTGCTCTTGGTGCTGTACATTCTATGGGTTTGGACAAATGTATGATGACAGGTACCTGTTGTTATTATATCATACAGAGTATTTTCACTGCCTTTGGGTTCCACCTACGAGTGTTCAGCCCAACTCCCTCAACCTCCGAACCCTGATCTTTCCAGTGTCATTTAGTTGAAATCAGACCATGTGCAGCCTTTTCACGTTGGCTTCACTTAGTATTAATAATATGCACTTAAGGTTCCTCCATGTCTTTTAATGGCTTCATAGCTCAGGTTTTACCTTTTGGGAAAAAATTATTTTACCCAACCTCCTTTTTCTTTAAAAAAAAAATTGCTATTTTAATGAAAAATTTTTATTATGGAAAACATATAAACGTATATAGTAAAGAGAATAGTGTAATGAATTTGATGTACCCATCACCCTGCCTCAGCCCTTACCTGCCCTTGCCAGTTGCTTGGTTTATCACCTAACCACTCCTGCTGCACCATTCTTCTGAAGCCAGTAACAGACATCATAGCATTTCACCTGTGTAGTTCTAAGTTATTTAAAAAAAAAGAAAACCAAATACTATCTAAAAATGTTTAATAGTAATTATTTAATATCATCAAATATCAAGACATATCTTATTTCTATTATCATATCTATAGAGACACACATAAATACATACGTACATACATTTAAGTTTAAGTATGTGTATGTTCATTTTTTAGTTTGTTTGAATCTGATTCTCACAAGGCCTGTACATTACAATTGCTTGATAGATCTGTTAAATTTCTCTTATCTTTAGGTTCCCCATCCTTCTCTTATTATTTTTCTTTAACTGTTTGTTGAAGAAATTGGATCATTTCGCCTATAATTTCCCACAGACTGAATTTTGATGATTTTTATCCACATATGTTGTTAACTATGTCAGGGTGACCTTTGTGTTTCCTGTAAACTGATAATTAGGGTGATAGGGTGTATCAGATTCCAGTTTTTTTGTTGTTGTTGTTTTGTTTTGTTCTTCAGGGACAGTCAAGACTTCTTCATAGGTGGTGAAGGACTTCTTCTATCAGGGTTGCATAATTTCTTTTTATTTCTCTTTGTAAGGTTAATAACTATTGACGAATATTGCCTAGATCCTTTAAATCATTAGAGTCTGCCACACGGCCACATTTTATTTTTGTTCCTTCCTCCTTCATATATGATCTGGAATGCTTTAAGGAAGAGCAACTTCTCTTAACTATTTGGTTGCCCCCAGGTACACTGTGTAAGAAAGGCAGGATGAGAAGATTTTCACAAGGCGGCCCTTTCTGTCTTCCAGTGGTGACTTTTTAAAAGGAATCATACAGAATTGTGGATTTTCAGATATATGGTGTGTTTGGTCCAGCTGTGTTGGTGGGCAGATTGACCACTGGGTCGCCTTCACGTGACCCGAGAACTTTGATAGCTTCCTTGCCTTCTGGTATGACAAGATATTACAGATTCACTTGGTGCATCTCTCCCCTTAGATCTGGTTTCAGCCTTTTCTCCAAGGACCCCTGCTGTTTAGAAACCAGTCTGGGTGTTAGCGGTGCTTATTGTCCGTTGTTTCTAGGCTTCTTCAGTAGACAGAGCTCGGAAGATAAAATCATTATGAGATCATATTGATAGAACCAGTTCAGGGCTGTAGGATATTGACCTCCTGTGTATTGACCTGTATGTCCTTCCAGCCACACCAAAAATCTGAATAAACTAACATCCCAGCAGTTGTTCCGTTGGTTTATCCCACAGTACATGGCACAGAATGACAATTCTGACACTACTATTCCCACAATGTAATTACTGAAAAAAGTTTGTTTATAGTTCTTTTTGTTCTTAGGATAGAGTACATATAACCCATTAAGAACTTATCATCCATCACATTACTGTGTTTTACAGTCACTTGGAATAGTTTCCCTCTGTGTGGTTATGCCACCAACTGGACATACAGTAGTTAGATTGACTTGTTTCATTCTACTTTTGATTTTTAGAAATTGCTTTATTTTATTTTATTTTTCATTAAGTAAATATTTACAAGGTTTCAAGTCAGTTTGAGTCCAAGAACTTATATCCTGCCACCTTCACCTATTCTCTACTTCCTTCCTCTATAGGTGATCTTTATTTTTATGGTTTATCCTTTCATTTTAATGTTCCTTATGTATTTGAGCTACCAATTTGTCTGTTACATGTTTCAAATATTTGTTTCCAGTTTTTACCAAGCAGAGGCTTTTGTTAAATATTTCTGTATAATGTATTAACCTTTTTACTCTATTGATTTTGAGTCATGTTAGGGATGTTTCCCCTCTTCCAGGCTATAGACAATTCACTTATGTTTTCTGCTAGTAATTTTATGGCTTCATTTCTTATAATGAAGAGTCTAAGGAATGGATTCAATTTTATCCTTTTCTATATGACTGTCTATTATGCCAACAAACTGAATAAAGGGTCCTCGTTTTCCTCACTGACTTAGATGGCTGTCTTCAGTGGGCACTACATTTCCTTATGTCATTGGGTCTGTCTCTGGGTTTCCTGTTTTGTCCCATCAGCCTGTTTGCCCGTTCATGATCCAATACCTGTTTCAGTTATAAAGACTTTATAGTAAAAACATTTTATTCCCAATATTGTTGGTTTTAGTATTGGGATGGAAGGGAGGTGATAGTCAATCATATTTAGGATACATTTTCCTCAAGCTTACTCTATTTCAGCCACATGGTCATGATGCTCAATGAACTAAACTCTGTAGTTGTTCTGCTTGTAATTGGTCCAATTATAAGGTAATTGGAAGGTCTCTTGTAAGCTCTCTTATATATTACCTATGTATAGGTTCCGTATACAACAGAGGAGTTGCCACCACCCTTATATGGCTTCAGAAATTAAGTTCAAACAAATTATTATAATGAATGAAGATGCACTTTAGACATTGGAAAGCTATATATTTTCATTTTGTCCACCTTCTTTCTTTCTGAAGATGACATGAGCCCACTCTTGTGTCATGAGAAAATTGCTCATTTGCCTTAAATTTTGCTATTGTAAGCAATATTTTGTTGAACATTTCATAATGCAATTGATTATTGTGACTTTAAGCTCTGTCTTTTGATAATGCTTCCTGGAAAAATGCAAATAACTCAGCTACTCCTCACTCCACATGGCTGCTCCCCTCCCAGCTCAGATAAGGGGGTCCATGGATAGATAGAGGGCAGACAATTGAAAATAATAGTTTTGAAAGGTTTTACCATTTACGAATTTCGTTACATTTGCACTCCTGCAACAATATAGAAATAGTAGAGTGTATCACCCACTTAGTAAGCATATGATTAGTTGGTGGGTGTGAATGACAGCACCCTCAGTTCCTAAGTGAATTTGTGGCACCTTACACTGCTTGACCTTTACTCCCTAATTGCCAGTTACTGCTCTGCTCTTTTATTCTAGTGAAACCTTTGGCTTTTCTTTTTGTGTAGACACCTTTGTTCTTGCCCTCTGGTTTCTGCCCTTTTCATTTCAACAGCATTCATGTTTGGGTCTCAACACTGCACACACAGTTTTCCTGTCGGGCGAGGCTGAACCATAAGTGAATAAACGCCGCAGTCCTTTTTAAATCCCAGGATAAGGCTGGAGAGCATTTTGGTGTCCATGTCTCAGAGTTTTGCTGCACCGAACACTGTTATTTCACCCAAAATTCAACGGAATCCTCAGAATTAGGTCCATTTATTTACCAAAGGCCTGGGTGAAGGTGGCGGGCACGGTGCTGGTGCCCCACAGTCGCTTTTCTTTCCCCTGTAGGCTTTTTAGTGGCTGGTTCTAAACACATGAAAAATTCAAGAGTGTGTTCACCTAATGTACTCCTCCAAAGCTCAGTCTTAGTTTCAGATTCTTTATGCTCCCCCATAGCTATGCACCTCACGTTTGTCTCCTTCGGCATGTTAAAATGCTGTTCGGATAATTGGGCAGTGCAGTTGGGGGGTTAATTCAGACCTTAATTGCGCCCTCTCTGTCACTGAAACATTGACAGGAATGCCACGTCCTTGCCTTCAGTTTCACCTGTCGTCCCCCCTCTGGAGCAGACCCGGGTCACCATTCCTGTTCACTCTTAGCTTTTAGCTCTGCGTCATGTCAGTGTACTTTCCCACAATTCCATGGAACTTCTGACTTCTTACCTGCTTTGGAAAGAGATGAGCACAGAAGGCCCTCCGCAGCCTCAGGAGCAGCCCTTGGTTGGGCTGTGCAGAAATGTGTCCTTTCGTGTCGTCTTATATTCTACGCTAGCTTTTGGGGTGCTTTGTGCAACTATTTGTTCCCCTTCCAGAAGGATGCTGTTACCCCCCTGAGAAAGCACTTGAACTCTAGGCTGTGCTCTCCCAGAGGTCTGTGGCCTCCAGTTTATGAAGCACAAACCCTGCCTCCTACCCAGCTATGCCTGCTGGTCCCTGTTTTTAGACCCAGCCCAGGCCTGTTAATCCTGAGCCTACCAGCCGCACAGCCGCATGGTGGCCTTTGACTCACCCTCTCACTTGCTCCCACTAAGTCAGGTGCCAGTTCCTCTGGAAGTTACCCCCTTCCTTTGCTGTACCCCTAGCCCTGGCCTGAGGCTGTCTTCCTGGTGGCAGGCTGCTGCCTGGCCTCCCCCAGTGCCCTGGGCTCTCCCTGTCTCAGTGCAGCCTCCGTCCTCCTGCCAGCTGGCCTTTCTAACGCACCTGCGATGCTGCAACAAAATCAGGCCGCAGTCCTTGGCCTGAGTCTCCAGGTCAGCACTTCGTGCTCTGACCCTAACTTGACTTTTCAACCCTCTGATCCCCAGGAAGGGTTTGCGCTGTTCCAGGACCACTCCCTGTTAGGGGGACACACACCCCTCTTCCCTGCCTCCCTATGACCTCCTGCTTCTCACTGCGGAGCGCCACCTGCCTCAGTGCCATCTTCCTGCGCAGTGTCTGAGCACTCGGCCCTGTCTGGACTCTACCTCCCATCAGCGTTTTCTACACCTTTCTCCTGCCCTGGTTCTCTCTGGTGTGCTAAGTGTTTGTGTATCCTCCCCACCCCTCACCACTGCAAGGGCCTTGACTGTGTCCCCATCTGTCTGTCTCCCAGAACCTAGTTCAGTGCTCAGCAGATAAAAAGCGAATATTGATGGACTTTAAATTGATGGTCAACATGCAGATTTATAGTTTTTCTTTTTTGTGTGTACTCATTTAATAAATGAGCTCTCCTTTCTGTTCGTGATGTGTTCACCGGGAGTCATACCCTCTTTTGGTTGATTTTATGCTGTTATTACAAATGCCACAGTGACCATCCTTGTGCTTACCAATTGGTGATAGATTTAAAAATAGAATCACTGAATGAAAGTGTCAGTGTATATTCAGTTTTGATAGATAATACAAGATTGTTCTCCAAAAAGTATTTCCTCACTGCATACTAATACTCGGTACTATCAGTCTATATATAACCTTTGGCCAATCTGATGGGTAAAAGTTGTTCTTACTTTTTTTTTAATTTAAATTTGTGTTCCCCTGGTTACTAATAAATGTGGGGATCTCTTCATGAACTTATTAGTCATTTGAGTTTTGTCTCCTGTTCATATCCTTTGCCTATTTTTCTGTTGAGTTGTTAGTCTTTTTTGTAATGATTGTTAGAGACTTTAAGGGTCAAAGGGAAATACTTAAAGTGAATGAATGGTTCACATTAGGCAGTGTGACTGACTCCTTAGTGGGAGATGCACGTGCGTGCGCACACACACACACACACACACACACACGCATGCACACTCTCACTCACACACACACACACACACACACTCACACACACATACTCACATTCACACTCTCACACACACACACATACACTCACACACACTCCCACACAAACTCACACACATTCTCATACTCACACACACATTCACATACATGCACTCACACACACACTCTCACACTCACGCATGCACACACACACTCACACACAAAACACACACTCACATAAAGCTTATTGTTCTCTCATCTTAACACTTTCTGTTGGTGCTACTTCTTTTTGCCAAGAGCCAGTGTATGAAGTGTTCAGGGGACCAGACAAGTGGCCTAAGCACAACGTCGTTCTGCAGGGAGGGCCTCAGAGTGCGCTAGGTGAGGGCGAGGCGTGTACACCTGTGAGACCCCCCTCGGCACCCATTCGCAGAAACAGCCAGCTGAATTTAGAGGAAAATAGCTATCTTTGTATCTGATTAGGTGCAGTACTTTTCAATCTTTGTAACCACAGAAGATTTAGGAGGGTCAGTGTTTTCTCAGGTTTAGGAGTTTTGCTCACATGATATATTTGAGATTACTGCCCACTGTTTCAGTATTAAAGTATTCCCCATATCTCTTTCTGTCTCTCTCCCTCTCCCCGCTTCTGTTGAGTGCAGTAGAAACCACTAGTCTCCTGCAGTCACATCTAATTGTTTGCAGATAACAGCATCCTGTTTTTAAAGGTGTATTATATCAACTACTTTGAAAACTGAGTTAAAATGGATTGACTTTACTTGGTGAATGTATTAATTTTAGTAAGCCCCAGAATCTGTGGACTGTATACAGCTCCATTTATAAATGGCTCGCTTACTGCTTTATGTACAAGATAAACTGTCGTTTAATATGGAAGGTATCATTGACAAACACTTAACCGGCACTGTCTTGAATTGCAAAATTGGTTCTATCTCTGTATTATAGTGCACATATATCCAAAGTTAGGCTTTAGCTCTGAGCAGGGACAGTTCCTGATAGGATGCCTGGTAGAGTGCCTAGCACATAGTAGGAGCTCAATAAATATTTGAATGAATGTATTCAATATTCATTGTTGAATGAATGTGTGATGAGGAGCCGTAATTTAGAGATGCAAACCAGTTGGACAACTGGATATGATAGAAAGCTTATGAAGCTTTTAAAATTCTTTGAAAATAACTTTCTCCCCATATGTGAGGACATGTGCATTATAAAGCTTCGTGTGGGTATATGTAAACATTTTTTTACCTTCATTTTTAATTGGAAGTAAATCTAAGGTGTACATCCTGGGGAAGCTAGTTCTCAAAAAATAAAGTCATGGAGGGTTCTTCACACATGCAGTGTATTATATTATCTTTCCTATCTTGAAATATAATCATTTTTTCTGCATCCAGACACAGGGGAAAAAATACCCCAGTTATTTGAAGTCAGCCTAACTCCTCCTGTTTTTCTAGGCATGTTTGCCACCGTTGCTGGGATTTCTCAGCGAGCCCCTGTGCACTGGTCAGAGAATGTGATCGGGGCAGCCATCTGCTTCCCGTACGTCATAGCACTCGACCAGGAGTTCATCACGGTTCACAGCATGTTGGATCAGCAGCAGAAGCAGACCCTGCCCTTTAAAGAAGGCCATATTCTACAGGATTTTGAAGGTACTAGTTTACACAGAAATCTTAACGAAATTTAGTCATCAACCTTTTATGACATTTCTTCAGTAAATGCTATTTCGGGCCCATTAGGATCAGGACTTGATGCTGAGCGTAGCAGGATACACAGACGGTGGTAATACAGACTGTGTACTTGAGGGGCTGTAGGGTTAGTGGGGAGAGAGACATTTAAACAAATAACTGCAGCAGTTTCAGAGCTCGATAGAAATGAAACAAGGACAATTGGGAGAGGCAGAGGTGGAAGTATTTCTTAGGAATATCAGGGAGGGTTTCCTGAAGGAGGTGGTATTTGAGCCAAACCTTTAAGAGTGAATAGAAGTCAGCCAAGCAGATGTGGTGTGAAAGAATCTTCAGGTAGAAAGAAAGGAGCGTGCAAGTCTGCTCCAGAGAGAACGCTGCACTTCAGGCCACCCAAGCAGTTCAGTGTCACAGGGGTACACAGCGTGTGAGGGGGGGCTGTGAGATGAGGCTGCGGCAGAACAGGGCCGTCTGGAGGGATTCCTCTTATGTGCAGGGGAGGTGGGAAGGGGAATTACTTTACTTCTCCTAAATTTTATTATGAACATTTTCAAACGTACTGGAAAGTTGAGAGAAAAACAAAGTGAACCACTCACTGTACACCATTCACCTAGGTTCAACACTTGTTACTGTAACATTTTCCTGAGCCATTTGAAAGTAAGGGGAAGGCAGTCATGACATTTAATCTGAAATACCAGGAATAACAGCGTTTCCCTACATAGCCACAAAGTCCTTTTCACACCTCAGAAAATGAGCTCTACTGTCCTGTCGGTGGTCAGATCTCCCCAGTTGTCCTAAAAAGGCCTTTGATGATATTTTCTTCAAACCAAGAACAAATCTAGATTTGTGCATTGCATTTGTCATTTAGGGAGTTTGGCTAACTGAACACTGCCCTTCCTGTTTGAGATGCTGGGAATATAAACTTTCTAAGACTCAGTCTCCATGCTAAGCATGTCAGATTCTGGCTGGGAGCCCTGACACACACCTTGGAAGAGCACATTGCACAGCAGTGTTACGGTGCATGTCCACCGACTGCTGGAGTGGGCACAGGGTCAGGAACACCTCGAGGCTGGTGATGAAACCGCACTAGGTCGGAACAAGGGACGCTTCCTAGAATGGGGGACACCAGTGCAGAGAAGGGTCAGAATCTCACCTGAGTATGAGAAAACTTACTTACTTTGGTGGTGATAAGAGAAGACAGATATGAGCAGAGCAGGAAGGAGACAAAGAGGGGAGGTGGGATGAAGAAGTTACAGACAAGGAGAGGTGAGGGCTGGGTCAAAGCAGGCAGTGGAACTAGAGTGGAAATGACAGGGCACAAGGAGAGGCCTATGGAGCAGGAAAGGCCTGAACTCCCCTCACAAAGAAAGAAAAGACTGTTCCGTTACTTCCTGTGGACAGATAACAGTTAGCATAAAAAGTGTCTCCAGAAGGGAGCAGGGCTTACCTGAAAAGCTTTGTAGTAGGAGCTTGTCTTGGACTGTAGTTCCGACTCTTGTGTGGACTTCCTGTGCAAGGTCCCCAGGTGAAATGAGGGTGACAGTGTTGGCCACTGGTCAGGTTCATGCACAACATTGTGGGAAATAAATAAGGTAACGCCATGGCTTGGTGGTATTTGGATGGCGGGTGAATATGAAATATTGACCCACGGTTCAGAATGCTGCATTACAACCTTCATTTCCTATAAACTAATACGGAGAGAAAATACATTTTTAAAGCTTTCATATGAGGTATATCATAATTCTTATTGATAGTTTTCCAAAATTGATAACTACAATTTCATTGGACTACTATTAGGTATCTACCCAACTGGTTTTAAACACATTAACACTTCCAAATAAGAAAAAAGCAAAAGGTATATTTCATATTTTGGAAATGTATTATTAAGAGTTTGTCCTTTTCTGACAGTTGAAAGTTTGGGAAGGAGAAAAGAGAAGCATTATAATTTATAATTTCTGTAGGAATTCTACTCTGATGAAATTGATCAGCAAAACAGATCATGACCCCGTTTAGGGGAAAGTGTTTTCTCGCAGGCATTTCATTCTTCCCCTTTCCAACCATGTCGAATTTCTCCCTAGGAAGAGTAATTGTCGCCACAAGTAAAGGAGTTTACATCTTGGTTCCATTACCTCTGGAGAAACAAATACAGGATCTTCTAGCAAGCCGTAGAGTGGAGGAGGCTTTGGTTTTAGCCAAAGGAGCCCGGAGGAACATTCCAAAGGAAAAATTTCAGGTTTGTAATTAGCTGGTCACAGAAAGCATGCCTCCAAGCCACCAGTCAGAAAACATTCGGATTTAACCAACACCCAGCTGTGGACTGTGTTTGCATCTGCTATGAAGTTTTCTCAGCACATGCACATGGTACAGATGGAAACAGGCTGGACTGAGGTGACACTGCTAACAGAGGCCAGGTTGGGTTTGGAAGCTCTGACTTAATTTCTGTGCTTAGTTTAGCAAGTTGTATTTCTCATCAACTTCCTTCTTCAGTGGGCCTTCAGAGAAGAATCAGGGGCATAGTTCTTATAAACCCAAAGAGTAACATCAGATTCATTTGTCCCTTAATTTAGAATTTGTTGGGCTGGGGTTGAATTTTAAAAGTTTAGATTCCTATTATCTACAGGAAAAACTTTGTTAACTATACTAGTAAACTCTTTAGATCGCAGGAATCCATCTAATTAATCTCCTTAGGAGAAAACTTTTAATTCACTTAAATATTAACTTTAATATAGTTGGTATGGAAAATACAGTGGATACAATAATCACAAATTATGTCTCATGAAATCAGGTTCCCTAAAAATTGCTACTTGATCAGTTGATAGGTTAGGTTAGTTCAGCTTACTCTGAGAGTAATAAAACCTAATACTAGTGTGTGTACCCTTCATATAAATATCCAAATCGATCATTAAAAGTTCTCATGAATGAATAATCCTCTTGATTGTTACCACTCGGTCAGACTCTCACCTGGCTGTGTGATTATTGTGGAATGAAATAATGCTTTTTGGCCTCAGTTGCTTTATGCTGCTGCAAATGGTTGATTCTGACAGTGAAAGACAGAATGTGTACTTTACAAAAAAGGGTGTCTTTTCTATATTTAAATATTGAAAAACTTCTCATCTTTGTTCCTATTTTTTTTTTATTAGTTTCAGGTGTACAAAACAATGTAATAGACATTTACACCCCTCACAAAGTGAAAAACTGATGGTTCCTATTTTTTTAAAGTAAGACCTACCCATTAGCACTCGGCAGGGGGCAGCAAAAGCAAAAGGAAGAGCTATCCAGTTCAGGGCCGGCTGTGCTGAGCAAGCCGTGCTGAGAAGGGGCGAGATCAGACGGAGATCTGACCGCCATGGGGTCTGAAACCTGCCTCTGCCGGCCTTGCTCTCATCTCCTCTCTCTTCCCGTAACATGAAGCCCCGTGAGCTGTCTGCTGTGGATGTGTTAGATGTCTAGATGGGCCACATGTTGGGGTGCCCCCTCCTTGTACACACACGCGTACATTTTAAGTGTGTGACATTTTCTTAAAGAAGCTTTCAAGGTTCTTTGTCTGAGTTTTGCTTTTTCTCCCCTCTTTTTTTCCAAGAGCAGAGATATGCAGTTGAAAGTAGAGGGTATGAGGAGTCACCTTGCTCTCTAATCTGATATCCCAGTTGAGTTTTTTCCTTTTTAACGTGCTCCCTGCCGTCTCCCTGTTGCTCCACACATGTATATCCAGCCCAGGAGACACACCCTTAGAATTATCTAGAATTCAGCTGTTATTCTCAGTGTCCGTTGTTACTGCTGGTATGCAGACACTTCTCCTATGTTGCCTGAATGATTTTAACAGCCTCTCTCACATGTGTCTAGTCCATTCTCCACGCCACGACAGGGATGATCTTTCTAAAATACAGACCAAATCTGTTGCTTAAAGTACATCGGTGGGTGCCCCACTGCCTGAGGTAAAGTCCACACCCTTGAAGTCCATCAAGATCCAGCCCAGCCCACTTCTGTGCCCTCCTGCCCTCCCTCTTGTCACCCTTCTGAAACATGGCCGCACCCTGCCTTCTGCCTGATAGGTGGAGGACACAGGGAACTAATAGCTGTTGAGCCCTACACAATAGGTAAGCCCACTGCGAGGCATTTTAAGCCATCTTTTAATCCATAAAACAATTCAGAAATAACCAGTACCACCATCCACAGACCGGAAGACAGGACAAGTGAGATGGTTTTGCCTCTGGACATGAAATCAGGGCCAGCCCCCTTTACCCCGCATGCCTCGCCTCCACATTTAGTGGAACGTTCCATGTGCATTCACACGCCTCTCCGCCCTCCCCCTGTGCTTTATTTGTTATTTCTGCTCTGCTCTTACTAGAGTGTGTTTCCGTACTCGAGAAAATACCATTTCAGTACCTTGCTTAAATGTGTGCTGTTCTCTGAATTCTTCCTTTCCTCCAGACAGAACTAATAACTGCTCTGTGCTTCTACAGTTGTGTGTGTTAACATGTAGCACACATCCGTTTGGTCCTCAGCTCCAAGCTTTTCCCTCCTCAAGGTCCTAGGTAGACCCTGTTCTCTTCCTCTTCCTCGTACCCTTCTCATACCTGGGCTGAAATATGAAGGATGGAGAAGGGGTGATTCAGAGCTTTGAACTAACTGGTCATCAGACAGGTGGAATGCTCTGGTGGAATGAATTGTGGAGCAGAAGCTATTGGTTTAAAATAGAACCATAAGAGAAAAAAACAGACAATAATGACAAAAAGGTTTAGAGATAACTTTCCTGAGTGTATATGTGTTTCTAAGGATGAGTTGTAATGCTTTCAGTATGTATCTTTAAACAACAAGGATACCTGCTTTTTTTTTTTTTTTAAAGATTTTTATTGAGGTATTGGGGGAAGGGGAACAGACAAGTTTCTGTCCTTTTGTTCTTCAGTCCAGTTGTGGAGGACTTTGCTTCACTGGCCCAAGTTGGCACCATCATTGCGCTCTTCCAGGGCGAGGCACCTCAGTCGCCGGCTTCTGGACCGCCGCTCACTGTGGCTGCTGGCTACATACAGTAGCCCATGGCAACCCACTGCCACAGGGGCTGCAACCTACGCAGTGTCACTGGCCCTCATATGTGGGATCCGAACTGGGGCCCTCTGGCGTCCCAAGCCAGCTCTTAACCAACGCGCCACTCGGCCAGCCCAAGGATGCCACCTTTTAAATGTAACCACAGTACCATCAATATAACTCCCTGAAATCAGCACTTAGTTCCTTCAAGATAGTGTCCTATCAGTGTTCACATTTCCCCAATTGTCCCATAAACCTCTGGGTCTTGGCGTTTTTCTTACCCTTAGGGGAAATCCCACTAGGGCTGACCAGTCATATTTTAAACTGTTTTAGAGTCACCTGAGACAGTTCTCTATGCTGTTCTGCCATCAACTCTTTTATAATATATAGTTAGGTTCATTTGTTTTATTTGACTTCTGTTTTATAGCGATTGCTTTTTAATTTTGTTTTATAATTATGTAAAATATTTACATAATTCAGAAGTCAAATCTACAAAACAAAGTGGTATAGTCAAAGAAGCCTAAATTCCTTCTCGCCCTTCACTGTGTTTCCTCCCTCCCCCTACTTCTCTTCCTCCCTATTTTATCTCTCTTCTTTTGGTGTGAGGGTTGGTAGTTTTGTTCTAATGATTACCCAAATAGTATTAACTTTGTAGAAGTCCTTTGGTTTTCTGTTGTTGTTGTTGTTGTTGTTGTTGTTGTTGTTGTTGTTGTTGTTGGAGTGGGCCTCCTGTTGTCTGTTGGTTTCTCACTTTGAGCAATAGTTGAAATTAGCTAGTAACCTCCTTGACACCTTTTCCTTCCTCTCCCCCAGTATCCGTGTTAAGGTAATACCCATGTATTCCCAGTTAGTTCCTGTAAGACAGGCAGCAAGTATATTGTACTATTTGTGTAATCTCCCTATCCTTCCCTGTTTTTTGATGGTTATATTGTCTTTACCGTTTCAGAGCCTACAGCCTTCACATACTATACTATCTCCCTGACATTGATCGGTCTTAGTTCCATGGCTAAAAGTGTATTGAATGCTCACCAACAATTTTACATTGCTGACTCCAGTCCGTTGCTTTTCTGAAGTGATCCTTGGGCAGGGATTTCAGGATGGGCACCTGGGAACACTATCCCTGAGTTTTTGCATGTTGATAACAGTTTATTAGCAGGCTTTATACTTGAAGGCCAGTTTGACTGGATGTAAAATCTTTGACTCATGTTCTCATTCAGTGAGGAACTTAAATAAGTTCCACTGTTATCTTTTGGCAGGAAGCATTGCTAGTCAAAAATCTGATGAGAGTCTGAATTTTTTCCCTTGTAGTGACTTGGTCTTTTTGCTTGAATGCCCAAAGGACTTTTTCTTTGCCTGAAAAGCCCAGTTTCTCAATGTTGGCACTTACTGGCAAACTAGAGCTGGGATGTCCCCTTCCACTGCCATTCTCAAATGGCCTGCCAAGCTTTCTAGAGGTTCTTGATAGAAGTTTGGTGACTGGCTGACAAGGCCTCGCGGCCCCTTTTTCCTCTCTCCACTTCTTCCCACAGTTTCTAATGCCACCCAGGCCCTGTAGTTGGTGGTTTGTCCCCAGCGGCTTGTACTTTTGGGTTTGTGGGCATGCCTTGTCACTTTGTATTGTTATAAATGTGAATTTTTGGTTTTGTATCCCAATTGTTTTGCTTGCTTTTTGTTTTTGTTTTTAACTTGTGGTAAAATACACATAACATAAAATTTACCATCTTAACCATTTTTAAGTTTACAGTTCAGTGGCATTAAGTAAATTCATATTATTGTTCAACTATCATCACTATCCATCTCCTGAACTCTTCTCATCTTGCAGAACTGAAACTCTGTACTGGATTATTTCGCTTGGCATAATGTCCTCAAGGTTTCATCCATGTCGTAGCATGTGTCAGATTTTCTTCACTTTTTAAAGCCGAATAATATTCCATTCATTGAGCAGTTTTCTATTGTGTTTAGGCAATGCATATTAAGGAGGGGCCATAAAGCAAGGCATTTTAGTGCTTGAAAGGACTTTTCCTTCCAGAATCCCTTGTGTGACATTTCACTTAGACAATGCAGCCTTGAAAACAGGTTTAGAAATATTTAAAATAGAACCTTCTGTTCCACAAAATTTCCAGTTCCCCAAATCACAAAAGTTAGAAATCTCAATTCAAAAATATAATACTAGTGGGGGCCGGCCGAGTGGCTCAGTTGGTTAAGAGCTCGCTCAAGAGTTTGAGCTCTGAGCAACAGCGGTTCGAGTCCAGCCCGAGCTGAGCAGCCGCTGAGCTGCCAACAGGTAGCAGGATGGCTCAGCTAAAACAAACAAACAAACAAACAAACAAACAAAAATATAATACTAGTAACATAGTTTCATGTTGCTCCCAGAATACATTGCGACCTCTTCCTCCTGGCTTGTGTTGGGCCCTCAGTGTTTGTACAGAGTAGGTTTAGAGTGGCACTACTTAGAGGTCTGTCTTGCCAATTTTCTGTCTTCACCTGGGAATTCTGATAGCCATCTTACACTGAAGGGCAAACTAGTAAGTTAGAAAGAAAGATGAAGCTTCCATTGTTGGCTTAGCTCTGATGTCGGGAAGCTAAACAGACTCTCTTGTCCTCTGTCCTACTCATGTAGCCATTCTTCTTGTCCTTTTCCTGCTGGCCCCCCTGGCTCCAGGTTTTGTAGCTCAGCATCACCTGCGCAAGTAGCGGCATCAGTCAGAGTGAACAATCTGGAAAGGAGACAGCCACTTTCAGAGAACCAAGAGTTGACTGTGCTTGATGAAATTTCTGATCGGGTATTGTTAGGTCAAATTCAGTGGTGGTCTCTGTTTCATCCATGATTTCAACATCCAGGTGCCTGTATCCAGGATGAAGGAATCTCTTTGCATGCTTCTTCCATGTCTACATATAGCATTCCCAGACTTAATACAGAAAATAACCCCCATGCTCGTGGAGACTGGGGGTGTTAGCAAAAGTCATTTTTATTTCCCTTTAGGAAGGGGTATATGAATTCTACTGCCATGAGAAATAAATTGTTATTCAGCTGATTTCTCATCAACAAGCCTGGGTGTCACTGAGAATTTTTCTACCGCAGCTCATGGGTCTTTTTCATCCTTTTTGCTAAGTGGAGGGTCTTTATTTTTTTCTCCTTGCAGAAATGGAACTGGCATCCTCACGCAACAGAACTTTGACACACTCCTGTGTATTTAGTGTTGGGCAGTATAAATAGGCCAGTTTTTAGGTCAGAAATGACTGATGTCCGGGAAGAAAGATCAAAGCCAGTGGTGAGAAGAGAAATGAAAGAAGAGAAGTGAAAAGGCAGCCTGCCTTTTCTGACCTCTCTAAAGGAGTTTGAGAACTTTTCAAAACTATAGCGAAAGCCCCTTTCAGAGCTGGTTCGAGGGAACGGGAGTGATAGCCTTAGATGCCGACTGGCCGCTCTCCTCATTTCTTCACTAGGTAACAGCACTAAGTGCCTGCTGCATACCTGGATGAGTCAGTGAGTGGAAAGAACTGGGCTCTTGAATCAGAAAGGTCTGGTCTTAAACCCTGGTGCAACCACTTACTGCTTTAGTAACTTTGGGCTAAAATCTTAACACCTCTGAGCAGAATGTTCCTGTTTGTAAAACGGAGATAATGAATGACAAAGTAGAATGTCACAAAAATTGATCAGATAGATCTTCAGGTCAATAAGCGCTTACTACACGGCAGGTATTATGCTAGGAGTGGGGGGTGCCAAGGTGGATAATATATACACCTTGCCTTCTAGAACAGCGTGATGGCTTAGAAAGTGGAGGAACTGTAGTCATAGAGTCTTTAATTGTGAGGTGATGAGGACCTGGGCTGTGGTGATGGAACCAGTAAGAACAGAGCAAAGAGACAGGTCCAAAAGCTGTTTCAAATACAGGATGGACAAAACTCTAACACTGCCCTAGTTGGATACTGGGGGAGGATGGAATTAGAGACCCCACCAGACAACTTCCTAAAGTGTGTTTTTGCTGTTGCCGAATGTTACAAGGACAAAGGGGCTCTGTGCTCAAGGTGTTGTAGGTAATACTGGATTAAACAAAGATAAATCGGCACCTTTATTACAGGAATTCCCAGACTGTAATGTGTGCATGCGGGGTGTGTCACCAGGAGGAGAGAGAATACACAGCGTTTCTTCAGTGTGGGCTAGAACGCTTATTTATCTCTCTGTTAATTTATTAAATGGTATTGGCCCTGTGCTCTGAGGGGCACCCAGAAGTGCTGTTGGGAAGTGTCAGTTCCAGTGGAGTGGCTTCTAGACTGTCAGAAATACTGGGGTTGTTAATATCCGTCTAGTCCACTGGAAGTAGAAGCAATCATTGACACCCTGCAAGTTAACGAGGAGGAGAATGGAAGATAAAGGAATGCATTTGGGAAGGACTGGGGTTCATTAAAAACCATCCATAAAGAAGGAAGAATAGTGAAATAGAAAACTTTATCTCAAGAACGAGGTGTTGATTGACATATATATATATATATATATATATATATATGTATGTGTACACACAGAGACACACACACACACACACATATATATATGTATATACTGAAGCTAATTTCAGATATGCCTTGTTTTTTTATTTTTACCTTGTGACTTCAAAGTTCTACGTAGTAATTAACATTTAGCCTGGGTTATGATTAGAAATTCAACCCTGGTGATGGTTTCAATGTATCTCTAAGAGATTAAACCTGTCTTTCTTTACAGGTAATGTACAGAAGGATCCTCCAGCAGGCGGGTTTTATACAGTTTGCACAACTTCAGTTCCTGGAAGCTAAAGAGCTCTTCAGGTAATTTGAGGTGTTAGTAGCAAGACTTCCGAGTGTCCTTTTTTGGTCACAACCCCCCTTCCCATTGTGATGCTGTGATGGGAAGTGCTGCTGTGGTTAGATTGTGCTTCAGGTGGAAATGGTGAGGACTGTTTATAACAGCAAATGTCGCCAGTACTTTTTTGTCACTTTTCCTTTTCTCCAGAGATTTTACAAGAAGCTGTAAGTTTAGAGAAAGAGCAGGTGCTTCTGGGAAGACTTATGAAGACAGTTCTTCCTCTAAAGCAGCGGTTCTCAACCTTTCACAGGGGTCGCCTAAAACCATCGGAAAACACATATTTTTGATGGTCTTAGGAACCGAGACACCACTCCTCTATCTGTCTCCAGGCCCACATGCAGATATGCCCACATACGAGTACCTGGTGACCCCTGTGAAAGGGTCATTCGACCCCCAAAGGGGTCGCGACCCACAGGTTGAGAACCGCTGCTCTAAAGTCTTTGTAGGTGGCCTACTCGTGGTTAGCTCTCTCCAGAAGCTGCCCTACTCTGATGGAGGTCTCCTGTAACCAGGGACCCTCTTGCCCTCCCCTGTCCCCCTCACCCACATCTTTGCGGTCCCATTTTCTCAGCTGCCCTTCCTTTCAGGCTGGTGTGCTCAGTGAGGCCATGGTGGTTCATCTGCTTGCTCAGCTCACCTTACAGAAGATTAAGTTAAACCGGCTCTGATAGTCTTTAAATACCCCACTGAAGCATTGCCTGTGGGATAGGTTTTTCACAGTGTCCAACTAGAATAGATTTTCAACAGTTTAGAGCCATCGAAAAGATAAGATGTGCTGAAGCTTCTGAATAGACCCTTTATGTCCCAGTGGCAGGCAGAGCAGAGAGCCCCTCTGCAGCTTGCTGTCCACAGCCCGTTCTTCAGGGGTTTTCCTACAGCCCAGGCCGCGCCGTCACCCACCATGACCCTCACCTCTTGCTCTGTCACAAAATTGGTTGTAGAGTCAAGAAAGAATTACTTATTGAATCACTATATAACTTTTACTTCAGCAAATTCTCTGTGCTGTTGTCATCTGTTCCTGGGAAGATCAGTAGTTTTGGGATTTAAATAGATTCTTTGTCCCTTTGGGCCGAGGCTCTTTTCTGTCATATCTTGTCTTACGCCTGCAGTGTCGAAGGCCTCCTCGCTTGGGTCATGGGTCTCTCCCAATACATCTTCTTCTCTCGTGGGCTAACTTGAGACACTAGGTGAATGGTCACTGATTTTGTAAGAGGATAAACGTAGGACCTGTCAGTCATTAATAAGGTTCCTATACTTCATACTTCAGCCACTTAATAGCTTACCTTTAAATTGATTGCTGCTTAGCTTTTGTCAAAACTTTGACTGAGGAAATTGATATTTGAAGAAGAAGCTGCTAAGACAAGCATGCCCACGGCAGACATTATCAATAACTCATGATTGTTTTTTCCTCATTGATCTGGGACTTGTCCTCAGATCCTTCTCAGTTCAGTGCTAGAAGCCACACCTGCCGACTCATCATGGTTGGCTGCAAAGAGAGCACCTGTTTATCCTTCGTGTCGTGGAGACACATGCTGTGTGTCTACTCCTCTAGGAGTTGTGCAGCCTGTTCATGTATCCAGTCAGAGTCAAAACTTCTCTCATTTAGCAGACCTGGGCCGTGCCTGAGAGCTAGGATGTAAGGGAAGGACAGCACCCCATCTCCGTGCAGTGTGACAGGAGTGGGTGGGAGCACTGCGGAGCTCCGACTTCCATCGGGATTTGTCCTGGACCTTAAATGATGAGCGGAAATTTCCCAAATGGAGACTCATACCTTAGGGCAGGGTTGCTCAGCTGTGGCACTGTTGACATTTGGGGCTGGATAATCCTTTGTTACGGGAGCTCTCGCACTCTGTAGGATGAGTAGCAGCAGTCCTGGCCTCTACCCACTGGTACCAATAGCACCTTCCAGTCATGACAGAAGTATCTCCACACAGTGCCAAATGTCCCCAGGGATACACACTGCTTCCCATGGAGAACCACTGCTTTAGGCAAAGGGAACAGCAACAGCAGAGGCTAAGAGGCATGACTTGTGAACAGGAGAAACTGAGTGGAGCTGAGTGCAGGAGGGTGGGAGGGACAGTGGAAGCAGAAGCTGTCACCTGGTCTGAAGTCTGTTTAGGAAAGGTCTGGAATGCCATGCTAAGAGCTTTGAACTGTATTCTATGGGTAGTACAAAACCATTGCAGGTGAGGAGAGGGCCAGGGGGTTAAGAACAGAGCGGAAAGGAGACCAGAGGCAGGAAGCCAGGAGAGTGGAGGAGAGCCAATCAGAGCGTGAAGAAAGGCAGATGCAGTGACCGCCACAGGAAGTACAGATCCCGGATCCTGCCTCAGAGACTCTCCTTCAGTGTGTCTGCACGGCATTCCTGCTCTGTTTGCTCGAGAGGTTTCTCACAGGCAGGCCTGATCCTGGGCCAGGGTTGAGATCCACAGCTCTGTGGTGCCGCCATTAATTGTTACCATTGTAGACAGGACAGCAGGCTGGAGGGAGGAGATGGGAGAGGGACCCACAATGAAGTACACATGGCATGTCACTAGGTGTGGCTTTCTGGGCCTCAGGAGGTGAGGGCCCTGTGCTGGCCATTTGAGTTGTGTGCTACGTTATGCTCCAAAACGCTCGCAAGAATCACTCCAGAAATGGCCACACAAATGCTTCTGTGTCTTGTGTTACAAGATCGTGGATGAGGAGATTGTAAGTGACATTCCTATAAAGTCCCTTCTTTATGGACCATTCAGTAAACCTGTTTTTAATTTAGTGCCAGGGAAAACATTGGTTCCAGAAGGACTGTAATCTGCCTTTGATCTGACAGTGATGCTGTGTTTCCCTTGTGTTTCTTCCTTTGCCGGGTTTACAGGGAGCCCAGTACTGATTTAGCATTCAGCTGTTCTGCTAGTCCACCCTCACAGTGATTGTGCGAGTCTTTCACTGTCATCCCCTCAATTGTTTTTTGGAACAAGGCGATGGCACACAGTTCAGCAGTGCTTTGCCACGCTTGCAAATTAGGATGGTCACTCTGGTGTGCCTACCCAGATATCCCGCTCCCCGCAGATGTGTACAGATGTGCACACCCCTCCAGTGTTGTTGTTGTGTGCCTATGTGTACTCTCTCTCTCTTTTTGCTTCATTTAGTTTGACACTGTAATTGCAGAAGCGGCCAGCTTGATGTCCGGGAGCTGATCTCTCTCTACCCCTTCCTGTTGCCAACCTGCTCTTCATTCACACGGTCTCACCCTCCCCTCCACGAGTATGCAGACCTGAACCAGCTGACCCAGGGGGACCAGGAGAAGATGGCCAAGTGCAAGCGCTTCCTCATGAGCTACTTGAACGAAGTCCGCAGCACAGAGGTGGCAAATGGCTACAAAGAAGACATCGACACGGCCTTGCTCAAGCTGTACGCAGAGGCTGACCACGACAGTCTGCTGGACCTCCTGGTCACCGAGAACTCCTGTCTCCTAACAGACAGCGCTGCCTGGCTAGAGAAGCACAAAAAGTGAGTGTTCTCCTCCCACATACCACCGGGGGCTTTGTGCCTGGCCCTTCCCCACCCAGCAGGGAGACTGCTGTGAAGCTGATGGGGCCAGTGTGTTGGAGTTTCCAAGAGATTCATCCAGGGACTACCCTGAAATCATCATGACAAGCCAGCGCCACTTAGGTTAGATCACCCTCGTCATGCTCTGCAGGCCAACTGCAGGGGTCTGGGAGGGTGCTAGCTCTCATGCCAGTTCTTTAATGACAGAGAATACACTTTGGAGCTAGTCCTAGCCCTTGTTAGTAAATGAAGTGATGCTTAAGTTTCCTTATATCCCATGTAGGATTCTCCTGTGGAAGATGCCACATGGATGTCGGTACACTAATAGGGCACTTTAGCCTCTGATGACCGAAGAGCAGGTAGAGATATGTGGATAAATAGATTAAAGTGGGGGGCTTCTTGGTCTTGTTGATAAAGGTTATGGCTTAGAACTCTGCCTTCGCTATATGCACGAGTGTGTAGGTGGCCACCCCGTGCCTTATGCACAGGGCACGTCATCTATAGTGACTGGTGTGATAAGTGCTGGCAGCTTCTTCATCCTGGGCAGGAGGTCAGGGAGTTGAGCCCTTCTAGGCCTCAGGGGTTTTTTGTTTAAAAATGTTGGGTAACCCCTAAACTCTGTTAAGCATAAGATTCTTTGCCTGTGATTTCTGTTATGTATTTGAAATGGCAAACGTCCTGAAGAAATCCCACAGGGACCATGATGGTCACATCATTCAATCCCGTTGAGATGCCAAGACAACACGGTCTCCATGTGGGTGCTGGCTCTTCCGGCAGGTTCCCTCAATTTCTCCAATACCCTGTGGAGCGCAGTTGTTTGGTTTAGGAGCCAGGAAATGCACTGATGCCTCCTGGTAATGACTCGGGATGGTAGGTGCCAGGGACTCAGTGTAACTTTCTGAGAGGTTGAGGAAAAGAGAAGGATTCCAGCAAACAGTTTGGTATCTTGAGAGTTTGCTGTTTGAGGAAATAAATGCGACACCCCCTGGGTCACTTGCTCTAGTCACCTGCTGGGAAGGAGGAGGACCAGGAGTGGGACACCCCTACAGAACTTTGGAGGGCAGGGATGGCTCAGTGCCCAGGCAATGCCAATGTCATTGCTAATCTTTTCCACTTACGAGTGAGAAAAATGGCGGGCCAGGGAAACTAATCAACTTGCTCAAGATCATACAGGTCATAAGTATTGAAGCCTGAATTGAAACTCGGGTCCTTGAATTCTGGGTGGCCTCCCCAAGGACTCTCCCTGGTGTTCTGTTCTCTGCGATGCCTGGATACTGTTGGTCTCTATTGCTATCATTCATGTTCATACTCTTTCAGTGATAGCTCAAACAGCACACCTTCCAAAGTCTTCTAATATTGGGTTAATAATGGGTAACTGAAGAGGTAGGAAATTATGGTAATATTTGATGCAGATTGTAAAGCAATTCCAAATGTGATTTTTCATAGTATAATTACAGTTTTATTTGTCAGCTTGTCTTAGACTTGAATGTGATCCTGTTTGGAAATTGATAGGGCATACATTTTAATAGCATAAGTAAATAAACAGAAATGAGGATCCTTTTATTGTTTGAAATTTGTTGTTGAACTCAGAGTTGAATAGAACATGGGGCCAGGGGTGTCAGGTGGGTACCAGGGCGGGGGTGGTGCTGTGTGGGTGCCGCCCCAGAAGGTGGTGGGGAGCGGGGTACTTACCACATTGCTTCTTTCAGGTATTTTGCCCTGGGACTGCTCTACCATTATAATAACCAAGACACGGCTGCAGTGCAGGTGAGTTGAGGCATTTTAGCGTTATTTAAAAATCAGTACTGTTTAACTTGGTGTTACTTAAAAAAAAACAAAAAAAACCCCCACAAATTGATAGAGACCACTTTTGCCTGATCTACAGTCTTTTTTACAGGACAAAATTAATACCGTTTTTAGAAAGTGAATTCCTTGAGAAATGTTGGCCAACAGTTTATTTTGTTTGTCTTTACATCTCTTTCAAGAACATTATCAAGATTTAGTTTTTGAAAATCCAAGAAATAAAAATATGATTTTTTTTTGAGGCACAAGGCATAGGGACATCTCTGCCTTATCAGAAAATTAAAACTGTGAATAACACTTAGTTTATAATTTTCTTTTAATGTTAATAAATTTGTGATATTAATAACTTAATGACAATGACTATTGCCAGTGAGCTGGGTAAATTATTATCCCCATGTCGCCTGTGACAAAACTATAGCTGACCAAGGCCTGTCATTCAGCCAGGGTCATCCCACTGGTCAGTGGCAGAGCTGGGATTCGAACCAGTGTTCCTTGCAGGAATGTAGAGCCTGAATTGAAATGGCACTGAGTGTCAGTCTTGTCCCTTGTCTTGCATCTGACATTGTATGACTGATTCTGTCTCACACTCTCAGAAGACTGTCCCCCTTATGTTAGGTGTCATCCGTTGGTATCCTTTATATCGTACTTTCCTCATGTAACTTTTTTGTTTCATTTTGTGACTTGCCAAGATGTCAGCAACATTCACCAAGCAAAAGTCAACTTCGTGACTTTGGCAAAGCCACACGTGTATTTGGTTAAACTATTGTGGTAACATCATTGCAGAATAGGTTAAAAAAAAATTGGGTTTCCGTCAACATGCTAAGAGTAGATTTGGGTGTCAAAGGTAAAATTTTTATTTACATCATATAATTCTAAGAATTACAGCTTGATGTAAGTGTAATAATAATATTAACAGAGGTAGATATTGAGAGATTTGCAAAATTGAAATCATACGAAATAAGCCTCCATATATGGCAGAATTCTATTGTGTTGTCGGAAAAGTCATGACGCATTTTTGCAACAAAAAACAGAAAAATACGTCATGACTTTTCCGACAGTCCAATTAAAAAATGACATATTTCAATGTATATATGATTAGGTTATTTGGTTTGGGGAATTCAAAGTTGAAGAAACTCATACCATAAAAATGTTGGTGTGTTGGTATCACAATTACAGAGTTGATGCTGCCTGCCCTGTTTCTTGGTCTCCTTGCTGGTGGTGAGGTTCAGAAGTGCAGTGCAGTCCTCTGTTCCCCCACTTCTCTTGGCCCCTCTCCCCGCCCCAACCCCATCCCCGTGATGGTGCCTCATTCTGGGGTTCTGAAATTAAGCTTCAGTTTACACAGTGGGGAAGTTTCTGGATGAAATGTCAGAGGCCTTTGATTACTAGAGTCTGTGATGAGACCCTGTGCAAAAGACCGTCGGAACACTAGGGGACAGAATCAGCAAAGTTTTTGAAAGCGAAGTATCTGACTATCAGTTGAAAAAGGACTTCAAAAATCAAGAAGGACTGGGATGAGAAGATGGAAACAGCCTAGCTAATGGATGTAGGTGAATTCCTTCTGTGTTGAGATGTTGTCAGGGATCATTTTTCATGAAGAAACACTTTTTAATACCTCCATCTCTTCCTATACATTATCTTTACTACTTGTGTTACTGCGATATCATTAAAAAGGAAAGAAAAAGAACCTGGTACTTTATTTTCTTGAATTTCTGGATCACTTTTTCTGCATTTCTTTATTTCTCTGAAAAAAGTTAAAATTGATTTAAGCACTTAAAATTTGTCCTATTACTTTTAAGTATTAAAAGGCCAAGTAAGTAAACATATGGCTTATCACAGCTGATTCTAAAAGGTACATGACTTTGACCTTCCATTTCTTTTTATTGTTACTCCTTTCCAGCTGTGGGTGGACATTGTGAATGGGGATATTCAGGACTCCACTCGCTCAGACCTGTACGAGTACATTGTTGATTTCCTTACGTACAGTTCCGACCAAGCACTAGTGTGGAAGTATGCTGACTGGGTCCTGCAGAAAAGTGAGGAGGTTTGTGCTTTGTAAATGCATACTCTTGGGGGAGTGGGGAGTGGTAAAAACAGACAAAACCTCGATTTTAGGTGGGTAAACAAGCAACGCTTCAACCTCTCTGTCCGCTTTCTTTGCTCCCCCTTTATTTATTTATTTATTTATAAAGATTTTTTAAAATTATTTTTTATTGTGAAATACACATGTTTTAGAATTAGTTTCAGCTCTACAACACAGTGCAATAGTTATACTTTTTACCCCTCAAGGTGATATATATAAAGATTTTTATTGGGGAATTGGAGAGGGGAACAGTGTTGGGGAGTTGGGGAAGGGGAACATTGTGTTTTTCCAGGACCCATCAGCTCCAAGTTAAGTTGTCCTTTAATCTTAGTTATGGAGGGCGCAAGCTCAACTCCAAGTTCAATCACCGCTTTCAGTCTAGTTGCCGGGGGCGGGGGGAGGTGTAGTCCTCCATCCCATGTGGGAGTCGAACCGGCAACCTTGTTGCACACTGAGCCATCTGGCCACCCGTGTCAGCAGCTCATGGCTGCTTAGCTCAAGGTGCCATGTTCAATCTTAGTTGCAGGGGGGTGCAGCCCACAATCCCATACACATGTCAAACCATTAACCTTGCTGCTAAGAGCACATGCTTTCATCATCTCAGCGGCAGCTCAGTTCGGGCACAGCTCACTGGCCCATGTGGGAATCAAACCAATGACCCTGTTGCCCAGAACTCATGCTCTTAAACAACTGAGCCACTTGGCCGGCCCCTGCTCCCTTTAATATGTGCCCTTGAGCCATCTAAATCCCAGCTCTTAGGGAAGTTCTAGATTTCACTGCTTCCAAGATGCACTGTTCAGCGTCCTCTGTCTCGGACAGACAGACCACTTTAATAGAAAAGCAAGAAGGGGGGCCGTCCGAGTGGCGCATTGGGTAAGAGCTGTCTTGGGACGCCAGCTCTGAGCAGCAGGGCCCTGGTTCAGATCCCACATGAGGGCCAGTGACACTGCCCTCTACAGCTAAGATGGTGAACAACAGCTTGACCTGGGCTGAGCTGCCGTGAGTCACAGGTGATGGCATAGGCTGCAGCCCCTACTGTAGTGGGCTGCCATAAGCTACCATGTGTGGCTGGTAGCCAGCATGAGTGGCCGGCAGCTGGTGTGAGCTGCCAAGAACCGCCATGAGCAGCTGTCAGCACAATGATAATACCAGCATGGGCCAGTGAAGCGACGTCCTCCACAGCTAGACTGAAGAACAAAAGGACACAACTTGTCTGTTCCCCTTCCCCCGATTCCCCAGTGCTGTTCCCCTCCCCCAATTCCCCAATAAAATCTTTAAAAAAAAAAAAAAGAAAAGCAAGAAGGATAGCCAGGCCCCATTCTCAGCATCTTGTGAAAAAAGTATGTTTGTGAACCACCACCCCTAACTAAGTCTGGCACTTTAGTTTTCTGTGGGCTGGAGCAGGATCAGATGGCTGCCCACAGGGTTTGGTGACAGGCCTGGGCCACGGCAGCAGAGCTATGCCCTGTGTCTGCCCCACCACCCCTGATGTGGAAGTTGTGGGCCTGGCAGAAGGAGGGCGGCCGTGAGCGGGGCTCACCCATCTTGGAGGCCGCTACAGGACATCCATGAGAAAGCACCTGTTGGCTGTTGGCTCTAGGGGGAACAGCATGCTCAGGACAGAGGGACAGAATCCTAAGTAAAGCCCCAAAGATGACTGGGAAAGAGAAAGCATTTCAGTTCTCACTGTTAAAAACGTCCACATTCCCTTGGCTCCCCGGGAGAGACAAAGTTAGCTCTCTGGTGCAGGACCTTGGTTGTAACTGTGCCTCTGTGTGTTGCATCTGCTGCTCTGAAATCTGAGTTGGAATATGTTCTCCGTGCTACTGCCTAACTGCGAGGTCAGAGCCCCCACGCTTCACGCACATTTCACGCCAGCTTCACTTTGCCTCTGTGCACACACATGGACAGCTTACCCCGACAGTGCTCACGTACCCCTGCCACATGGACCTAATGCTGTTGGAAGCATGGGACTCTTCCCAGTGCTGGTAGATAATGACAGCACATCAGGTGCAGAATTCTCTGCCCAGTAGTGTGCCAGCCCCTTGACATATATCATCTCTTAAACATCACAGCAACCCCACGAGGTGGGCATTTATAGATGAGGAAACAGGCTCAGAGAGCTTAAGAAACTTCCCCAAGATCTTATAGTTGGTTTTGCTCATGTTTGGACCTCGTGTGTGTGTGTGTGTGTGTGTGTGTGTGTGTGTGTGTGTACGTGTACGTGTACATGTGTGCCAGTGTGTTTTAGAGCATACGCATGTAAGTGCCCTTGGAAGGTGGAATTGTGCAGTGTGGGCCCTTAGGCAGGCACAGGCAGGTGGACTGCAAACCTGTCAGGGACCAGCATGGCTCTCACGTAGTAATCCACAGAGCAGGTGTCAGTGATGGGAGAGCCAAGTTGACTGAGTGTTCAGCACTTTATTCTCTCATTTACTATTCAGTGAGTGACCATTGTATTTTTGGATGACCTTAATATCACAAAGTTTTGCTTTGTGGATTGTCAACACTTGCTACCAATATATGTTTCATTCTTTTGTTTCCAATCTTTTCAAAATCAATCCACAGGGATGTACGAGGAAAGTTTCAAGAGCTTAGCCACCTTTCCTGTCTTCACTGCCTGGGCTTTGTCTGGGCTCCATGCTGCACTATTTTTCTGTATCGCCATATGTATTGACAATGAGTTTACCCGAAGCATGAATGTGCAGTGCTCAGGATAACGATAAGATGGTGACTTTGAAAAGCGTACTCACTCAATTGCGCTGCTCTCCTTTTAGATTGGAGTTCAAGTTTTCACCAAGAGACCTTCGGACGAGCAGGAGAACAGCTTTAATCCAGATGATATTCTCCATTGCCTTCAGAACTACCCTAAGGCTCTCGTTAAATATCTGGAACATCTGGTTATAGACAAGAGACTGCAGGTGAGGCTTCAGAGCTCAGACCAAGGCATGAAGGCCCAGGATCATGGCACTGACTGAAGAGGTGAAATTTGATGATCACACTTGTTGGCAGACGGTTTTTCTGTGATGTTTTACATTCCCCGGTGCTCAGCCTGTACTTGTTGATGGTCTGCAGGGGGAACTGGAGGTTTGTGAAGGAAACGAGAGGAATATGTAACTTTTTTTTTTAACACCCCCTGCCCCTGTCCCGTCTCTCATCCACTCGGCTTATATTTCTCTCCACTAGTCCTTCCTTGTTATTTTTCTTAAAGGAAATGAGAGAAGCTGCACCCTTTGGGAGAATATTTAAATCCTGTGGCCCTTACTTCTCAAAATGAGAAATCGCCCTTTTGTATTGGGTTGTTAGAAAAGTCATGACGTATTTTTTTCTATGTTTTTCATTACAAAAATGCATCACAACTTTTCCGACAACCCAATATTTTCCCCATAGATTTGAAACTCACCTTCCCTGAGCGGTTTTCAATCCAACAGATGTGTTCTGTTGCGTGTCCTTGGGAATCTGCCCAGCTGCCCGCCGCGTGGTCCGGCCCCCTGAGCGCTTGCTGACGGGGCGCCCTCCCAGCTTCCCACCTGCAAACGCTGCATGTGCTTTTGCCCGTTTCCTACAGAAGGAAGAATACCACACGCACCTTGCAGTGCTGTACCTGGATGCGGTGCTACAGCACAAGCCCAGCGCCAGTGACAAGGGTGCCGAAGTGACCGAGACACAGGCCAAGTTCCGGCGCCTGCTCCAGAAATCCGACCTGTACCGAGTCCGCTTTCTGATGGGTGAGCAGGACCTTGGCGGCCTCTCCACTGATAGTCCTGCTGGGCGGGCGTGGGCAGCAGAGGTGAAGGCTTCGGCAAAGCTCGTTGTCTTATACCTTGGTGATTCCTCGAGCCTCTTTTGGCACCAAGTCAGTCTTCCTAGAGGGTCAGGCAAAGCTTCTTGTGTCCCCTGCCCCATACCACAAATGGACAGTGGACTTTTACCTACAGTCTATTCTCGTTATTATTCCCAGTAGTTGGGTTCTATAAAGTCTCCACAAACACTGAGGTAGTGAATACCAAACCACTGCTCCTGGAGAAATAAATGCAGGGCCAGTTAAGTTCCTGCTACCCCTGCTCACAACATTTTCCTCAGCTGATCAAGACGTAACGTTGTTGATGTGTGTTTCTCTTTAAAGACACCTTACTTAACTCACTCACTGTGTTGATTGATTTCAAGATTTTTTTTCCAAAATGTGTCAAAAATCCACAAAATATAAAAAGTTGATATTTTGATATTTTATGCATTTAATAACATTTTGAGCTGTTTTGTACACCAGTGACATTATTTTCATTTTAAACTTTTGTTATATTGTAATAAATTTACCGTTATATTGAATTTTAGCAAAAAATACTCAAAACATACTAAGAGGCATCAATTAGATTTATTAGAATAAATTAGAATCTAATAAATTAGAATCTAATGGCATTGATGACATAAAAAATTTATTACAAAGTGTTACACAACATGGCATACACCATATCTTTGTTGTTGATAGTGCAAGCCACAGGAAAACATATCCAAACATCGCAGCAAAAGAGTTAATACTTAGTCGACTCATTAACATTGAACTCACAGCCAACAGCAGTGTGACTCAGGCTTGAGTGACGCTCGTCTGACACATGCATTTTCTCTGCGAGGCCTGTCACAGCCGTTCTGCGCTGAGACACCAGACAGCCCCTCTGCACTGTGCTTGGGGCCATTCTAAATGCTGAAATCACCAACAAAGGCAAAAAATGTAAACCTGTGGCACTGAGTAGACTGTTTACCAACAACAAAGTGGAGTTGTCACCCTGTTTGACCTCAGCTGGGGATGTGCATGTCGGTTGGCTCAGATTTTGTGCCACTCTGCACAAGTCCTCACATGGCTGCAAAGCTCCACAAGTACTGATTCTGGAGTTACAAATAAATTTTGGCGAGCAGGCAAATTAACAAATATAGAGTGTGACTAATGAGGATCAACTGTATCTATGCCAGGCACAGGGCAAAATGTCTAGCGTGCGTCATGACACTTTTCTACAACAAGACTATGAAGTAAGTCCTGTTATTTTTATTATTCTTATAGGTGAGTAAATTGAAGCTTAGAAAAGTGACCCCTTGCTCCAGGTCACACAGCTCCTGAGCAGTATATCCAGAGGAGGAACTGGGTTGAAGTCTCACGTGAACAGCCAATACTAGTTCTAGCTGGCACTTGACATTCAGCTGTGACACTTGTCAGCCTCACCAGTCACTCGCAATCACTGTCCATTCTGATTGGTCAGTGCCCACGCGACACTTGTTCGACATTTTTATTGTCACCCCTGACTTACTTTGTACTTTGTACTTCCCAAATCCCTTCATAACTGTCCCATGCTAGCCATGAGTTTGTTGAATGTTTTCACCCAGCCAGCCTTTTCAAGCATGTATTGAGTGTCAGGCATGCACCAAGGATATGAAGACAGATGTGACTTGGTTCTTGTCCTCAATTTAACCAGAGGGCACATGAGGGTTGGTAGAAGCTCCCCACAGGGCCGAGGGAGCAGCAAGCGTGCCTCGGGGTGGAGGGGCAGGGAGACCTCCCAGAGGGGTCCCCTGTTTTAGTCATCAGGGATAAGTCTGGGCTTGCTTGCAGGCCAGACCTGGGAGCTTGCAGGAAATGGGGTGTCCCCAAGGCACTGTGGAAGAGCACTGCAACTCAGACTAACTCTGTACCATGTTGGTCAGGTGACTTTGGGGGGTGTCAGCCTGGGCAGGTTGCAGGAATGGCTCCTATCCGGCCTACCCACTTGAGGTGAGGGAAGATCAAATATAAATGAGACAAGAGATGTGAAAAGTGTAGATCACTCCAGTGACCTTTTCTTAACCATCTTTGTGCCTCTCCCTGTGCCTTAAATGTGGCATCCACTTAGTAATTATGTGCTGACAGTTCTTTGTGAGGATGGTGACGATGCATGCGGCAGTGTCTGTGTCTCATGCTACAGGTAACATGGTGAAGAGCCAGCCTTTAGCCGCAGGACCAGTGTCTGCCAGCTGCATCAGGCGGAAGGTGGCCAAACTTCAAATGCAAAATGCCTATAATTGGAGTATTAACCTTGGCCCCTGAAATAGGAGTTGTCCTTGGAATATCCCTTCACAGTGGGAAGAGGTCTTACGTCATCTTCCTGTCTACAGGGGAGCGGGAAGCAGAGGGATGTTACTAGTGAGACAGCCCACTAAGAGCAGGGCCTTGGGCAGAACTGAGGCTCTGCTGGCGTCATTTTACTTGTAACCTGGAAACTTAACTTGCTAGAGAAACGAAATCTTTACATTGATTTGGATATGGATTTTTTACCACTATGAACCCATACTCCTTTCCATGAAACATATTTTAAATTGGAATAAAGGGGTTCAGCACACTTTCTGGCACAAGGTGGTATCATCTGGATTGA